CACAAGCCAACCAATAGCTTGCCCAAAACATCTCTGGGCTGAGCAACGAACCTAAATGTCAGGTGGGCAGTACCTAATAAAAAGCATATTCCCCTAAAGTTAAAGGATGCTGTGATTCCAACATGATACACTTACAGCTTAACTTGAAACACTTCACCAAAAACCAGAGCCTCCACTGGGGAAGTTCCGTGGACCTACAGAGGCTCCTGTGTCCCCTCCTGCCCCTCTCCCCAGATGAAAGGGAGCCCATCTGGCACATGCTGTAAACCAGATGTGCTGCAGGAACCAGCATAAAGGTCTCCCTGTGTTCACAATTCCTGTCTAGGAAGTCAGAGAACTTTTGGGAAATGCAGAGAAATGGCCAAATTGGTTTGCCATGGAATGTATAAACCCAACTGACCCCATGATTGGATTTCATTCTCTGACCACAAGAGTGCCAGGCAAGGGAAATGACTGAAGTTTTCCCCATTTAGGGCCCGTGAAGACAAACTGATTGACTTTAAACTTTCAGGTTTTAATTTGCCCTCTACCCAGATGGCCCCTAGGGATAGACAGAGCAGCCCTGCCCCCCTGAAAATTGGTTAAACTTTTTTCCTCTTTGGTTTCTTTGAAGATGGTATTATCTGATGGAATTTTTTAAGTAATACAAATTATTTTCTAATTATAGAAAAAGTACACATTTACTGAAGAATGTTCTGGAAATCTCAAAAATAGTAAAAAAAAAATTTTTAAACATCTCACAATTGACATTTTGCTGTATTTCTTAATTGGATTTTTGTATGAACATATGTCAGTATAGACATGTATTTTAAAAAATCAGGATCAATACTTTTCTAGCATAAATTACCGTATTTCATAAGAATATCCCAGAACATAAGTTTTTTTTTCACACCTCTGGCTATATTTCCCCAGGCTTGATTTCTAAATTAACTTAGTGAATCAAAAATACATTGTTGTCTCTTTTTGACTTACTTCACTCTGTATAGTAGGCTCTAGGTTCATCCACCTCATTAGGACTGACACAAATGCTATTTTATAGCTCAGTAATATTCCATTGTGTATATGTACCACAATTTCTGTATTCATCTGTCGATGGACATATGTTAATGTATGCATATGGAATCTAAAAAGATGGTACTGATAAACCTATTTGCAGGGCAGCAATGACGACGCAGACATAGAGAACAGACTTGTGGACACAGTGGGGGGAAGGAGAGGGTAGGATGAATTGAGAGAACAGCATGGAAACATATACATTACCACATGCAAAACAGATAGCAAGTAGGAATTTACTTGTGATGCAGGGAGCTCAATCCAGTGCTCTGTGACAACCTAAAGGAGTGGGATGAGGAAGAAGATGGGGGCGGATTCAGGAGGGAGTGGCCGTATGTACACCTGTGACTGATTTATGTTGATGTAAGGCAGAAACCAACACAATGTTGTAAAGCAATTATCCTCCAAAACAAAAAAAAATTAAATACATTTTTTAAGCTCTTGACACATATTGTCCAACTGCCCCTAGAAAGGTTGTACCAAATTTGGCTTTGTCTGTTGGTTTGATTTTATTCTTGAAGGAGCCCTGCTTTTCTCCCTCAGTTTTTTCTATGAGTTGAGATGATAGGGGAAGGGTCCTGAGTCGTACAATCCATCTGTGACTATGCATGGTTTCTCACATGCACTTTTCATCTCTCCAGGTAAAGAGGAGGATCAGACCAGCTCAGGAATGTTTTCCAACCAAACATCAAATGACCCTGTAAGTCAAAGACTATGCTTTCAGGGATCCTCAACCTCCAGTGCCTCTCATGTATTTGAGTACCAAGGTTTCCTTAGCACTATTAACATGTATTTTGTTTATTATGAACACCAATATTTATATAGAACTAAGTAAATCCCTGTTGAGGGCAAGAACTTGGGGTCTGGTTTGGCAGTTTGGCAACCAGTGAAATATCTGACTTGGAGAAGGCAAATAAGGATTTCACACAACCCACAGAAGGTTATTACAGTAAGAGGGGTTTGGGTGTGGGCAGGTTGGCGAAGAATCCCAATTTCTCAAAGCGGTAGACATTTAATGGTGTGGGGGCTCCCCTAGTGTCTGCTTTCCTTTCTACATTTGGGGAAACTCCTCACCAAATGAGCCTTGGAACAGAACATTCCCTTCCCCTAAAGCCAGATACTTATTTTCCCAGCCTCCCTTGCAGCAGAGTGGGAGCATGTGGTCCAAACTAGGGTAAGTAGGTACCCATCCCAGGCTTAGAATTGGGAGCCAGGGACTCATGAAGCAAGATGAGGAAAGAATTCTTTGTGGGACTTCCCTGGTGGTTCAGTGGTTAAGAGTCTGCCTTCCACTGCAGGGGACGCAGGCTCGATCCCTGGTCAGGCAACTTAAGATCCCACATGCCACAGGGCAACTAAGCCCACATGCTGCATTGAAGACCCATGTGTACTTAGTCGCTCAGTTGTGTCCAACTCTTTGTGACTCCATGGACTGTAGCCCACCAGGCTCCTCTGTCCATGGGATTCTCCAGCCAATACTGGAGTGGGTTGCCATGCCCTCTGCGAGAGGATCTTTCTGACCCAGGGATTGAACCGCTAAATCCTGCATCCACAGGCAGGCTGTTTACAACTACAGCCACCTGGGAAGCCCCAGTGAAGACCCAGCACAGCCAAATATTTAAACAAACAAACAAAAAAATTCTTTCTGTTGCAGCAGCAACGATAGCAACATTCAACTTCCAAATGCCTACAGTGGTGGTGGCCACTCCCACGGTCCAGGGCTAGTGGTTTTGGTGAAGAGCTCTGCAATGTGGGTTTGGCTGTAGTCCTCAGAGCATGTGTTCTGAGCCTATTTTCTACGCCTGTTCCCTAACCTTCCCAGCAATTCTGTGGGCTGCCTGAGAGCTTTTTCTGCTTAAATCAATCTGTTACTTGCAAGCAAGAACCTTGACTGACATACTAACAGCCTCTTCAGACTCAATGTGCTCAGCTCTAAAACGGGACTAGCAGTGTCACCTCTAAACAGTGAGATGAGAGAGTACATGAAGGCACCTGACCCCACACCATGGCACACAGTAGAAGCTCAATAAATAGCTTCGATTGTCACCCTTGTTTTCACAGTTTGAGGAATCTTGGAATACCTTGCCCATAGAGATTGGGATGTGTTACAGAGAAGAAAAGTCAGGTTGTTTTATTCTCAATTGTCAATACCACTGTCACTGCAGTAGTCACTTTTCGAGGGCCCTACTGTACTCCTGCGCTGTGCAAGGCAACGTACCTAGTCCTCACAGCACAGCCGGGTACACGCCCTCCCATTTCACAGATGAAGAACCGGACACTCCAAATGGTTAACAATTTGCCAAAGTTAACCCAAGGAATTTAAGCCCAATGAAGCGGAAACTGTAGGACCTATGCAAAAGTTTATAGAATTCTCTTTCTGAATTCTCAGAAAGACTGAAAAACTTGAAATAAAGCCATATTCAAACATCCATACATAACCGGTTCAACCATTTTGACCAAATCAAGACTATAAAGTGGTTTGATTGAGGTTTCAGAGCTGAAACTTCGGAAAGACCTATGAGTTTACCCAAAGGAGCCAAACAGTTGCGCCTCTATTTAGACCTGAGAGTCTCAAGGGAGCTGGTATGGTATTTATTGGAATCGTCTTGAGAATTCTTTCAAACCACACATCCCTGCCCTCCCCACCAGCCTAAAGAACAGGGATTGAGTGGCAGCTGCTGATACAAGCAGATCCTGAGACCAGTCTTAGACAGTCTGCAATTTGGAGAAACACAAGAGAATTTTTTTTTTTTTCTCACAAAGACTCAGTCCAGCTTTACTGTCCCTAGGCGCTAGGAAGAAAAAAAAAAATTCCAAAGGTCAAAAATAAAAATACTAGTTTCGTACAATGCAGCTGGAGTGACACTCAGATGACAGGAAAATGTGAACTATGTGGGAGAGCGAGAGGCAGACAACCACACAGACAAGTTGCTCCAAGTGGGGACTCCAGAGCTCCAGGTGTCTGAGAGGAAACCTTCAACCCACCCAATGCAGGCCTTCTGCTGCTTGCATGTCTTAAAAACAAGGCTATACTCTGGCTTCTGAGATGAAAAATTACACTAAAAGAGATGCCTGATTTTTATTAACTATCCTTAAAAGGACTCTTTCACTAATTCTGGGGAAGATATTTTGCTTGAGTGCTTTCCCACTTTGGCAAATGCGATCCAGAGGGGCTGGATGGAAGGGGTTTTGCCCTGGGTGAATGGTGGAGCGCACAAACCTAGCCGACTCCAGGGACAGTTTAAAGAAGAGGGAAAAGATTTCCTTGAATTGATATGGTGGAGCCAAAATAAATGGTTACTCTGGTTCTCTTGAGAAAACATTATTGCATTTTTAAAATTTTTTTATTTTTCTACAAAAGGGATCTCTGATGCAACTGACCAGAGAGTGTACCAGGAGCCCTGTGTCAGAATTCAAAGAGGTTGGGCTGTGTCCTGAAGCCTCTGAAGCCGGCTACTCAGTCACCTGTGGCCGGAGCAGGAGAAGGGGCGGAAGTGGCTTTGGACCTGAGCCTGTGAGTAGACCTGGGTTTTGACAAATTAAAGATGGCTCCTGCAGATAAGGCCGGAGTGGGTGGTGTCAGGGCATCTACCCAAAGCTCTCCGTCAACAGCAGCAAAGCGAAAACACACATGGACAGTCCTGGATCGGCAGCAAAGATTTTGGAAGGAAACCTTAGCCAAAAGCCAGAGCAAGAGACGGGAGCAATAAATCAGGCCGGGAGAAAGTCTGGGTTGAAGGATGCTGCTGCCTCGTCTGTCACTCCCTGGCCAGCGGAAGCACACGTGGGTCCCAGCCGGCGTTGACTCTAGCACCCTGCCAGCTTATTCTGGCTCCAAGAAAATGAGAACATCTTGGCTAAAGATGTTGAGGCCAGTGAGTGATTTTCAGTAAAGTAATTTTCCCCAAGGGGAACTGAAGGCCTCTTACATCAGGCAATGGCGATCACTAAAGCATGGTGGCCCAGTGCTGAGGCTTACAGGAGACAGCTTCCAGGATCCCAAAAAGCTGACGGAAAGGAGAAGAGCAAGGCAAAAGAACCAATTCCCATCTTTCAGAGATGTTTCCCTAGGTACCACACTGGGTGTTTTGGTTTCTTTTAAATTAATAGGGAAATGCCAATAAGAAAACCTCTGTCACTATAGTAATTAAGAGCATAGGATTTAAATTCAGACCTCTGACCCTCAGTTTTGTCATCCATATAATAGGTACACAAGGCTGGGTATGGGGCTGTTGAGATCCTTTATAACCACTTCAGAAAAGCAGTTTTCCAGGCAACATGGCAGGTCCTGGGAGAGAGGCTCCATTCCTTGAAATTTTTAAGTGAATGGCCAAGGAAAAGCAGAGAACAATTAACTTACTAACTGTGCATTGTTAAAAATACATCCACAAGGAAAGGAGGAAGAGAAAGAAGGGAGAGAGGGAGGGAAGGAGGGAAGGAAGCAACTACTTTAGACATCTCAACTTCTGCCTTTTTAAATTTACCCTGACCCCTGAGGTCAGAACGATCTTTATAAAACCAGATCCCTCTGACCAGGTCTTCCCCTTGTCCAGAATTTGCACTGATAGCCATACTCTAAGGAAAAGGCCCAACCTTCCTTAAAAAAGAATCCATAAAATATGGTGCCACACACACCACCAATCAAGTCTCAAGCACTCCCTCCAGTGGTTCTCATGCAGGGTGGCACTGAACCCCAAACACACCCTTACCCACTCCTTTCTTGGGGCCTTGGGAAATGCTTGGAAAGCTTGGACTGTCACTCTGGGGTGCTTGGTAGGGAAGGGATGTAAACTGTGTGCAGTACAACTAGGGAGTGGGCAGCATCCTATAACAGTCCTGGCCAAAATGCCAATAGCACCTCTGCTTAAAAACATTCACTATTCTGTACAGTAGAAACTCACACAGCACTGTAAAGCAACTATACTCTAACAAAAATGAAAACAAAACAACAGCCAAATAAAAACACCCGGAGCCCCTCCGTGCCTTTGTTCTTGCAGGGTCCCCTGCCTAAAATACTCTTCTCTTTACTCCACTCCACCTGACTTTCTCATCCTCCAAGGCCTAGCTCAAAACTGATCTCCCCTAGGCAGCCTTCCTGGATCCCTGTATTTTCCTAACAGCAAAACTGATGGTTCCTTCCTCTGAACTGTGGGCCTCTGTGGGACCCCTGTTCACCCTGGATTAATTGTCTTATCTGCAGTCCCCCACCCCAAGGATCGAGAGAGTTCTCCTTGTCCTCACATCCTCGGGGCCCAGCACCAGTTCATCCTAAAGGAAGGAAGAAGGGTGACCTCTAGCTCTCTTTATCGTCTGTGAGCACGCATACACCAAGTCTGGAGGGCAGATGTCCGTCTCCCCCAGGAAACTGCACGGGATTCTTGCAAGATTAACTGTGAAATCACATTGCTACTAGGGTTCTCGGACTTCACTGAGAGCCGTGTTGCTGAGCTGTCTGCTCTGCTCTTTATTTTGCTCTGTGAATTGAATTATTTTTTCTGGGTCATTAAAAGTTGTTTGATTTGGTTAATACCTTATTTATTTAATAATAGATTCCACCCTGGAAGCCAAGTTCAGGAACTAGGAGGCAGGCTTGCTATTTCTTTGATAGAGATCTCCTTGGCTCCAATCATCTTAGTCCAGGCATGCTCTAGGAAACAGACTCGAATTGGAAATCTGGATTCCTCGGGGAGGTGCTGTAGTGGCGGAGGCAGACGTATAAATAACTATAGGAAGCAGAAGGCTGCTGGTGCTAAAACAGAGGGACAGGCACACTTCTAGAATAGAATATATCTCAAATAATATGTGGTGAATGAGCAGAAACCAGCAATCAGTTTGAGAACAGAGGAGGCGGCAGAGACGTGAGTTATTCATATAATGATCATCCTTGTGTCAGCTGAAGGCAGCCAAACCATGATAACATTTGATTATTGTCTGACATTAATTAGTCACCAGATTCATATCCTTCCATCCGTTCTACACACTGCTACAAGGTTCATATTCTGAAATATCCTTCCTGCCTCTCTCCCTCATACTTCATTTTCAGTAGCTCCCCGTAACCTACCGTCCAGAGTGCTCAGCCTGGCAACTAAGGGTCTCCCCCAAACCTGCCTGTTGAGCCGCTCCCTCCTCTCCATTTCCTACCCCTCCCCTGCAGCAACCTTCCACTCTGGGGAAAGTGGTCACTGATTATCCCCTAAACAGAGTGGAAATGCCTTGTCACCTTCGTGAATTTGACCATACTGTTCTCATTATCTAGACCCCGGCTTCTCCTTCCTCTGAACTCCTCCAAATCCTGCCTTTTCATTTTCAATTTCCCTTGCACACTCACTCAGTCGCTCAGTTTCCCAAAGCCAAATCCTCCCAAATGGCATAGCTTATTTTTTTGCAGGTTCAGAGCTCAGCAACCTTCACCTCTAATGAGCTCTGGGGGGTGAGGGGCAGAATATGGATCACATGACCCAAACGCAGCTACTGAGCTGCTGCCTTCAGCACCACCTTGGCAGGCCATTGAGAATGCAGTAGACATGGAATGCACATAGCAAAACCGAGCTTGGTTTTTTCTTTTCTCATCACTGACAGGTCTCACAAATTATCCTGGACTTAATGAATCCATTTCAAAAGAACTTTATTCTCTCTCTCTCTCTTTTTCTTTTACCAAGTCCTGCTGGACAGGAATACAGACTCAAAACCTTGTCCTATGGTGGCTACAGAAAAGAGCTGAGATGCACCTGGCCAAGGAGGTCACCCCAGGACATCTCTTGAGCTTCCCAAACCCATTCCAGAGCATGGAAGCGCAGACCCAAGCAGTCTTCCTGGTGGGTCATGGCCATTCACAAAGGCAGCTATTTATGTCCTCACCATCCAAGGACTCAAGTGGCGTCCTTGTCTCTTTGAAGCCTCACATCAGGAGAGTTGGCTCCCAGACCATTCTTGCCGCTGTCTACTGGGTACACTTGTTAAGACATTTAACCCTGGGACCTCAATTTCCTCAGTCATAAGCTACAGATCCTAGCACATACCTTTCAGGACTGTTTAAGGATAAGAGATAAATATATGCATAAAGATACTGATACAGAGATGACAAGTAACTATTGGTTATGGTGACCCCTGAACAGCTGTTGAAGGTCCTAAAAACTAATGCAGAGTGAGATCCAACCAGGCAGCTAAATATGTGAGGCAGAGCAGTGAGCTGAAAGTTGAGCATTTTTGCATCTGAAATGCCATCTTCCCTTTCCCATCGACTCCACTGTCTTTATACCCTAAATTCAGCCCTTCCTAAGCTTGTGGAGACTTCCTCAGGCTGACTGTTCAGAAATCTCACTTCTTTCCTGTTTTCCCATTCTCCATTTTATTCTTGGGTCAACGCCATGCACACTCTTGTGCCTTGGGAATCCTTATTCCCTTCTTACTGCTGCACAGACATAACCAGGGGGTGTAGACCAGACGCAGCCCCCATTCCCCACTTGCACCTTCTAGCATCTCCCCCCAGAAGTCCCGTTCTCTTCCCCAGCCGACCTCTGCCTGACCGGTCCCCGTCGTTCCCCTGGAGGGCGTTCTCCATAAATGCTTTCTGAAGGAACAAAACCCCCTGTCGCTATTCACTATCTTACAAGCCCTTGAAAAGAATGCCACCAACTCCTTCCTGTGCTGGCCTCATCAGGAGACACGCAGTCCCACTGTGGAGGGCAAGTCAACCAGAAACCAGGCTGTAAAATCTGGGCAGCCCGGTTCATCCAGCCACAAAGGCAGTGACCCTTGCTTCTCCTTCCATCTTCATAACCCCCAGGAAGACAGACCACCTTTAACTAGGTCAACCAGATTCACAGTCTCCGTTCCACTCTCTCACCCTTTGTTATTCTGGTTCTTAGCTGGAGGCACGAAATTTAATGTGATGATTTATGTCTGGAAAGAACAAAAAGTTTCACTAACTCTTAACTGGACCAGAACCTTCCGGTATGGAGACACAGCAGTGAGGGCAGTAGAAGAGCATCGGACCGTCCCCACTGGGGAATTTTTCTAAAAAGTGTCCTGAGCCAGCTAGAGGTAGAATCCTGGCAATTTGAAGATAAGAGTCAGTAAAAAGGGAAACTGCCTTTAAAAAGCTGGTCCCATTAAACTCATGAGGAGCTATCCGTCATAGGACGTGACCTTCTCACCCCCTCTTTTCCTCTCTGCTTCCACAAATGACCGAGCATAGCTTTCCGCTCGTGACCCCACAGACCAACCCCTTGGTAAACAGAGGGGAACAAACAGCTGCTGTAGAAAAACACACCTTGCTCGTACTGACCCCCCTGCCCCAAGCTGTCTGCCTTAAGTTGTCCCTTCACATTTACATGCCGCATCATAAAAACCAATGAGCCACCCATGTCCTCGTAACAAATGAAGAAAATGTTGATGCAACATGAAATCATGTTCCGCAGTATGGAGGACTCAGTGGAAACAAGCTGAAAGATAGCCTAAGTGAGTTAGTTATCTTGTTTGCTTTGCTCTGTATGTAAGCTGCACAAATACAAGTCTTACAAAATGAGGGGTTCTTGAACTTGTGTGTGCGGGTGCGTGTGCGTGTGTGTTTATTAATAGACAAGTGAAAGCACAGCATTATTCTCATTCCTGTGAAACTTTCGCTCTTGTGTAACCAGGTCAAATCAAGCCTGAGTTACATGAGAACATGGATTTTAACTTTAACAAATACATAAAGTCATGACCCTTTTGTTTAGATATGCTGCCTGTTCCAGACAGGCAGAAAAGCCACCACTAAAACCAAGAGGTATACAAGACTTCACAATTTATTAAGAAGATTAGCTGGCTTGAGTTTGTCCACTAATGATTAGTCACAAATGTGCTTTCCCTCGGAAGCCTCGGAGGTCAGGTAATTCAAGGAATAGTTTGGTTTAGTTTTATTTACTTTTCTTCTTGATGTGTTACAACGCACTGTAAATTAAGGGCTATTTTACGTACATTCATTCCTAACCAGATTACATACAAAACAGCAAGCCCACCTTAAATA